TAGCTGTTAAGTTGGTGATTTAGAGATATTAGAACTCATTGTATTACACAGTCTCCTTGACGAAAAACTTCAAATATTCAAATGCTCAAATATATAAGAGCTGACACTAGAGTTTATTTTCACGGGAGGCTTCCAGCTGAGAAACATCAGCTTAATGATAGAGAGCTATCAGCCCCATCAGTATTACTAGGGTAGTGACATGCGTCCATCTTTCTAAAGCTTTCATTTACTTTGAAATCCTCGTATTGACATTCTTTTTTTGGAAGGAACTATTTAGACTTCTGAGACTCTTCTAAGAAACGTATATTAGATAAATTACAATTCAGGTTTTTAGAAGTCAAATGGCAGTGGTGAGACATATGTTTAAATAAAAACAAAAAGATTCATTTATGTATGTTAAATTCCATCATAAGCATCAGAAACAGTAATATGATGTAAAGCCTAAAATATGTGCCTCATTAAGTAAGATGAATTCAAATGCCTTTGGAATATTCATAAATTTAAATGGATACCTAGCTTACAAATATAGTACAGCTTTAGGAACATAGTAAAAACATTTGACCAAAAATTGGAGACATCTCTTTAAAGTGACATATTTCATATTTACCAACATAGCTAATTAAAAAATGACTTGTTGATAATCACTGCCAGAACTAAAAAAATCAGTGTTACCATCTGAACCACTAGAAGTTACTACAGAAAAAACTACTGACAATGCACAGAATAAGTACACATGGCATTTTTTAAAATGGACTCACAATTTAAAGGATTTCATAGATTCCTAGAGTTACCACACTTCGTGACTGTCCTCTATAACTGTATCTCCTTAACCATTGAAAACGCCCCCTAGGGATGGCCTAATAGCTCAGCAGATGAAAGCACCTGCTTAGGCAGACTTGGGGGAGGGGGGTTAATCCCTTGCCTGCTGTGCCAGCCCCGCCCCCAGGGCACACTGAGATGGTGATTGAAACTGGGTGTGGTGGTGCACATCTGTAATCCCAGCTCCTGGGAGGCTGAACACAGGCAGATCACTATGAGTCAATCTGCGTAGTAAATCCTGTAGGCCCTGTACTAAAATACCAAAAAACCCCAAAAAGCAAAACCCTCTTCATCCATTTTGACACTTATGTACATCCTGTCTTAAGTATTATTATGGACTATGTGATTAATCATACATTTCTAACTTATTTTTGCTAGTCATTTTGGGTTAATATGCAACAATTCCTTATTATAATGTATTCAGTATATATATATATATATATATATATATATATATCACTATTTCAGGGCAAAAAGTGACATGTAATACATCTTATTTACTCCAACATAACTATTTAATTTGATTCTTAGATACAGGTGCTACGATGAATTTCTACTGCAGTGCAATTTTAAATCTAAAAAGGTAGTCGACTAGCCTGACATTGATTGATGAGTAACTTGCATAGATTATTCAACTATTCTGAAATCTTTGTTCCTTGAAGAAATAGGTAACTTGAATGGAAATGGAGAGAAATTAGATGCAGTTTTTCACAAAATTATCGTCCAACTGAGTGGATCAGTGGAGACTATTAAAGACATCTTAGAAATGATGAATGGTTAAGCCCATTAAGTTTTTTGACTGACGTCTGAAAATGTAATGAAATGGAAGGCAGAAGCTGTTATCTGTATTGATTCCACATCTAATTCCCAAAGTTGAAACTCCCAAAGTTGAACATCTTTGGGTTTGTAGGTGTTCCTTGCAATAGATGCAATATATTATGTAACGTAAAACAACATGTTATCATATATATTTTTAGGGCTATAATTCAAAGAGAAAATACTAGTAAATTCATAAAAAGTTTATAGTACTTTTGTGAAGGAAATGACTATTAAAAACTAAAGTGGAGCAAACAGTGCTGATATTAGTGAGATATATTATGAAAACTTAAGTTACATACAGATAATATTTGCCGTAACTCAAAGCATTAATATGTCCTCAATAAAATATATTAATTATCTTTTGATATTTTTATGTATATATACTCAAATGAAGATAAGATTATGATTTTTTATTTTAATAGCTGAGGATATTAAAATCTACCAATACTATCAAATCATAAATTACACTTTAAGACAAAATAGTTAAGATAAGAAGCAATTTAATACTGAAGAACAATACTTTTCAGGATAGAAAAGTCCTTTGGAAACTTAAGAAAATGGGTGAAAGCACATATTTTGTTTATGAATACGTGAACTAAGTACTCTGAATGTTGCTTTTCACTTGAGAAAAGGAATTTATTACCATTTATTATCTCTGGTGAAATCCCAAGCACTCACCTTTCTGTAACAGTGGCCAGTGAGCATTAAGAAGACAAATAACTTCAATTGATGGACAAATGATTAGTCTTGCTATGGGTTAGTGTTAGCTGAGTCCACATTAAGGTACTTATTGCCTGGTAATTGCTCTAGTCCCATTCTTGAGTGCATTACATATCACAGCAATCATAAATTTGGTCATGTTAACACCTGAATTTTAACTCCCAGATTAAATCACATTCAGATCAACCAGTTTTACTTTAGTTTGGCCATGAGAAAGCAAAAGGACTGCATTCGGTTAGTAGTTCATGCACCACAGGAATACACCTGAGTTCACTTGTGAACTCCATCCAAATCCCGGACACCACACACTCAGTGTTTATGAAATTTGAAGAAAATCTTTGAGCCTCAGAGCTGTCACTCTTCTCTCTTCCTTTGAGGAATAATGGATTTCATGTTAGTAATGTCCTTTCTTGGAATGCTTTTATTGTTATTATGAGTGATCATTAAAAAGAAAAAAAACTTTGTTTGGTTTGTTGTTTAAAATACTTTCCTAAAAATTAAAGAAGTTAAAATAAAATAAAATACTGTCTTGTGGCAATGCAGAACAATATCAATAAGCAATTTTTTTTAAATTTTGCTTTATTTTCTCATGAAGTAAAACATCCACTTTATTGTTATATAAATCTAGTTATGTCACTATACACTATGACACAACATGAAATTTCCCATTGTCCAATATTGTCTTCTAAATTTTCTTTATGATACAAATCAAGTTATGTCGATATAAACTATGACGCAACATGAGATTTCCCACTGTTCAGTATTGTCTTCTGTTTTAGTTACTCTTCTTGTTGCTGGGACAAATATACAATACCCAAAATGAAGGAAGGAAAGGTTTATTTAGCTCATAGTTACTGGAGGTTTCAGCCCACACTCAGCTGGCTCCAAGGCAGAGCAGCACACAGCAGAGGGCAACCTTTCATGGCCATGGCAAAGAGCAAGAGCACAAAGAAGGGGTAGCAGCATCTCAAGCAGCTAACTTGTCTTTTCTCCTTTCATTGAAATGCAAATTACCTGCCCCAGGGCAGGTGCAGAATCCACACCCACAGTAATAAATCACAAACTCTAGAAGCCACCCCAAGAATGCATGAGGCTTTGGGGGGACACCTATATACAAATCATAACATCTTCTAAATTTCCTTTTCACAGACTTTGTCACAGCAAAACTATTATTTATCAAAAAGCTCTAAAATGGGGATATTCGATGTCCCCAAATTCAACTCATTTGCAGGAAGGTTTCTCACTGTGGGAGAAAGCACACAACACAAGCATGGAAAAGCAACAGCAAACATTTTGGAGATGGATTGGGCTATACATGAAAAATGCTTCAGAATATGTATCTTTATGTGCAAAAATATGCAGAAAAATGTATGTGGATATCTACCTGTGTGCATGTTTCTTAGCTCTGTTACCTGAAAGGATAAAAAAACAGGAACTTTGACAAGGAGCAATTAGCACACTTAGCATGCCACTCTTTGTCTTTAACCTCATTACCTATTTTAAAAGAACCAGAAATCCTTAGAGAAATGTCTGATTGCAGAGATAGGATAGGACCCAGATGAGCCGAGTGAAAGGAAATGCTCCAGTGAACAAAGGGACAGGTCACTGACAAGAGAGCAAGGCACTGAAGGGCTTCCTGAGCAAGTCTGGTACATCTGAACAGCAGAACAAGTCAGGACAGAAATGAATTAGATATTTAAAAAAGGAATTCATGTTTGCATTGAGATAATAGATACAAAAATAGAAATATTGGCTCTTGGAATAAAAAATAAATATTTGAGACATAAAAATACATGGACAGGGACCAGAGAGAGAACTCAGCAGTCTAAGTAACTGCCTGGCAAGCACAGGACCCAGATTCAGTCCCCAGTACCACATGCTTTGCCAGCCAGGCACAGTGGCACACACCTGTAATCCCAGCACTGGGGAGGCTGAGACAGGAGGATCACCATGAGTCTGAGCTGTGTAGTAAACCATGTACCAAATAAGTAAATAAATAAAAGATTTAAAAAAAAATACATGGACAGAAGTGTTTTGATTTAGTGATAGTGAGCCTTTGCTAATCGTATTAACAAGCACATTACATATCCTTGATCACATAAAGTATTAGTTTTGACCTATAATAGACTACAAAGTGAACTTAAAATGAAATCCTAAATATTATATAAAAGACCCCACATCCGGCAAGTTATTAAATTGCTGACTAAATTTAAAACAATGTCATGTGTCATCTGTCTCTGCAAATTAGAGTTAGATGTTCAAATATTCTCATATTTTATTTTTCTGCCGATTTTACCAACATACAAAGATATACTGGTGGAGTAGAAAACTTCACAAACTATAAATTTAGATTCAGATCCCCACTCTTTCCTGTCATTATTCTATTCACTTGTTTGCATACACCAGTCTTTTCAACTGTAAAATGAAAGAAGCAATTCAATTAATACAAACTTTCTCTTGAATTTTAAAATTAAATGATTCTAAGTTTTCACAGTTTCGCTCTTTTATATTTGTTATTATATTGATATTCCATTTGGTTCTAAAAATCATGTATCTTGCTGTTATTTCCTCAAGTTCTCAAAGATGTAACTTTGTTCTGAAAAATCAACTCTCTCATCTTTATCTATTTCTTTTATGCACAGTGCAAGTCCCAGGGCCAGTAGAAAACCTGCGCGCTGTATCTACCTCACCTACCTCAATTCTTATTACCTGGGAACCCCCTGCCTATGCAAATGGTCCAGTCCAAGGTTACAGATTGTTCTGCACCGAGGCATTAACAGGAAAAGAACAGGTGGGTAAGAGTGTGGGCCACATCTGTAGCCTGTGGAAGTATACAGGAAAGGGAATTGTATTTCCCTTTGTAGTCCATCTACAGGATAATGCTAGGGATAGAAAATGCGGAGCAGATCTGACACACTTCACAATTTAGTGCATTCATCGTGTAACTGATTACAAAGCACTGTTCCTAGAAATGTTAACCAGTTTAATTGAATTCTGGTGGTGCTAAAGGCAAGCTAAGAAGTGATGTCAAGAGCATACAGAGTTTTGGTTTAAGCTTGGGCTTGAGTCAGTAACCACATTTCTATGAACCTATGGAGTCTCAGAGGCATCTGCACCTTCAACACTTCTTCTAGGAGATACTTGTCTTTATATGAAATGGCCTTGGCCAAACTGCTTTTTCATTCTCATATATTTCATAATTCCCTCCTTTCCCTACCATCACACTCTGACCGATGGTTTGTGATGGCTTTTATAGAACTTGTTTAGAGAATCCTACCTTCTATAATCAGTGATTAGCACGGATGCTAAAAAGAGACAACTTAGTTGCTCGTTTAAAGAGTGAAGTCTTTTGGGATGTAAATGAAGCTTGGCGCTTTTACTTTGTAACATATATGACTATTAAGATGTTTACTTTCAGATTCTCAAATCCATGTGGAAGAGACATATAGCTAACTTAGTAGATGGGAAAGTGGACTCGGGATATAAGTTCTACGTTTTCTGAAGGTTACCAAACATAAGATATTATTCATGTTCCACATAAACTGCATGGTAGGGGTTTTTTTGAAGTATGTTGTTATAATCCTATCCAGAATAGTCAAAGTCCAGTCCTAAACTATACTATAGGACGGCATTACATGAGTTGCTCCTATATAACCTTGCTTTTTCCTAGTTGTTCCCATCATTTTTTTAACTCTGATATTTTAATGATTTGTCAATTACTAATTCTATTTCCTTTTCTGTATGTTTCAGCCCTTTCATAATGCATTTCACAAATCTATTTAAATAAGTCCAAAAACAGCATCATCTAGGATAGGCATTAGGGTAAGAAATGGTGTGTAAACCCAAATGGGGGATCTTCTAGCAGTTGCTGGGTCTTATTTACTGAATGACCTTCACTTTTAGTGCTTCTTCCCCTGCAGTTCTGAAGTGAAACTGGGAATGGTTTCAACCTCCAGTAAAATATTTTTGGAAGCAAAGTATATGGCAAGGCACCTGACAATGTCAGCAAACAAAGAAATAATACTGTCGTTTCTTGGTGAATTATTCTATCCTATTATTGCATTTGAGGCGCAGGAGTAAAGTTGTGTTATCAAGGATTTACAAGCTTGCTTCTGCCTGGGAAGGTTTTGGTGTGGGTGGAAAATCTCATGCCATTCCATATATTGGGTGGCATTAAGAAAATTGGAACTTAATGTGTATAAAAATAGTCTGCTGCTATTTTATGAGGAGTCTGCAGAGTAATGTGGGCTCCAGTGAAGGAGTGTGTATTACAAGTCAGATTTTATAGCAACTCATTATAAGGCTCGAGGGCAGTTATGCGACCAAGAACCTGCCATCTAATTCACTGATTGCACAGAATGGCTGCCGTTTCTGCCTTAATGTGCTTCCACAGTACCAGTTTGGCATTTTGTTTCCCCAGAATATAGAAGTTGATGGGCTCTCTTATAAACTGGAAGGCCTGAAGAAATTTACAGAATATACTCTTCGATTCCTGGCTTATAATCGCTACGGACCAGGAGTATCTACGGATGATATAACGGTGGTTACGCTTTCTGATGGTAAGTTATGAACAGTGAAATTTTATCTGTGTATTTCCATGAAACTGAAATGGTATTACATGTATGTTATAGGTTCCATCTTCACAGGTGCCTGACTATACTTTTGCATAATATTTCAGCATACATTAGAAATTTGGTTAACTTGCTCACATTATGTATTACAATAAAATTTATACTTTTTATGCCAATATATATTGAGGCAGGATGCTCTGATCATTAATCTCAAGGGGTAACTATTGTCTAAGAGCTCAGATTATTTCTATGTCTGTGTTGCTTTCTTTCTAAAAATGCTTCAGTGTGAATATATTTGTGCTGGTATGTGAACTATTTTAGATAAGAATGTTTAACGCTTATTCTTTTTTATTCTATTTTTTTTTTTTGGTGGAACTGGGGATTGAACTCAGGTCCCTGAACTTGCCAGGCAAACGCTTATTCCACTGAGCCATCTCCCTGGCCCGCTTTTTTTTCAGTACTGTGGATTGAACTCAGGACCCTGCGCTTGCCAGGCAGGTGCTTATTCTACTGAGCTATCTCCCCGGCTCATTATTTTATCACTTACTCTAAGGGAACATAGATGATTAAAAGTATAAAGGACAGGTAATATTTCTTACTTTGAAAGTAGATCATGAGAATTTAGGCTAAATAATCCAGCAATGAAAATGCTAAAAGTGCATATGAAAATGTACAGTTTTATTTTGTCTAATGAATGAAAGAGTAGGCACATTTTTTAGATGGATTAAAAGGGAGGAAGAGGTCCTTATAAAGAGAATGAACCTGTCTAAGCAATAGCAGGAAAAACTAGATACCTAAGGATGATAAAAGTTCTTAAAGTTTATTAGAAAGTAAAAATAAAGTACACAGAGTATGTCAGATGGGGCCTGTGGAAGCTCAGACAGGTGCAGAAGTACAGAGAGTACCTCCAGTGGGTATTCAAATGACAGGAGCTTGTGTTTCCAGGCAGGCTTTGCCTGTTAGTGTGTTTAATTCTATAAATTATTGATCATTTAAATTAAAATAAACGACTTTAACTTGTGATTCCTTGACTGATCTGTCCTTTTATAATTTGAGAAAATATCTGGGTGGAATATCAATGGAGTAAAGAAGGACAAGCATGTTATTAAGGACAATGCAAAGGAAATACAGGAAGGATGCTTATTTGCATTTCAACTTTTAAAATATATTTCACATGTAAGACCACTTGAGTATTATTTTTAATGCAATTCTTCTGCCCATGCATCTGATTCTGCTGTTGAGGATAGAATAGAATATTTATTGGCAGAATAAATTACTTCACAACTTATAATTATAAAAATAAAAGAAAACCAAATGAAAATGAACATTTTACATAATTTATGTAGATTTCATTCACACCCTGAACTGTAATACTGTGGCCTTATTCTCCACTTTGGTTTTAAATGTCATAAGTGAGAAAGATAGTTTATTAATCATTAGTCCAGAATTATCTTCTGGAAGTGCTACTGTGCTTAGGGTTTAGAAAATGTCTGTCACTGCAAATAAAGAAAAAAAGGCTTTCAAAGCCTTAACCCCAATAAACATCACAATAGAAAGAAATGCTAACTCCCTTCTACCTGATGCATTTGATAGAAAAGAGCAGAGACTCCAGGTCCTTTTGGACTGGGCACCCTGCCCTTGTAGGCATTCATCTTTCCATTCACTCAGCTCTTAATTTCCAACAAAAACCTACATTTAGGGCTTCTGTTCTTTTGCTTACCCAATCTACTTCAATCGGATGCTTTCTTATGTCCACTGAAGCTGTTTATGGCTGTATTAGTATGACATTTACACATATTTAGTTCTCCTTAAGAGCCACCCGCTTTCCAGTGTTCAGTCAGAAGCTACTGCTCTGGGACTTTCTGTATGCACAAAGGGGCAGATGTTTTCAAAATGGAAAGCACTACCCATGCAACACCTAAAACAGTGCGTGCATACATTATGATTCATGATTGTTACCTCTGTTAATATGTCTCTATCTGATTACTCTTAATTTTCCTAAATATGAGGGAAAATATCTCTGCATTCTTCCTACTTCAGTAAATATTTGTTGCATTAATAAGACAGGTTCAACCAAAACTGTACCCATGTTTATATGGAAAAATGTTACCTTTAGGTTTTACCATTTGTAGAACTAATTTAATATATGATTGTGTTGTAAAAACTATCACATTTCTTAGTGCTTCAAGTAGGACTTAAAAATGTAAAAAATCAAAATTAAATATAAGTAATTT